TATGCTTCTGATCATAATTTTTTGTTTAAAAAAGCAGCACTAGTGAAAACTTGGAGTAATGATATTTCTAGAACATTACATTTAAATATTCCTATGGAATATTTAAGTTAAGGTAAGATTAAATTGTAGAAAGCTTTTTGTTAACTTGAGGCTACAGTTCCTAATGTCCAATAGAAGACTGGAAATGTGAAAAATGGCTGAAAATTGCCATTCTACAAAGTGGCAAATCCTGATTTGGGCCTTTCTGTAGTCAGCCCAGATATCCAGAAATGCTGCAGGTTTTATGGTACCACTTTGCCACTTTTGGCTCTTGCAGTTGGTTTTTTCAAAGCTTTGTGTGTAGCATCAGTTGCCATGTCAGAGCCACTGTAGCAAGCTCATTACTAGTTTTCCCCCCCAGGTGATTAAATGTAGCTAAAGGGGCACTTACAGAGCTGCCCACATAAAGGAGGCTTGCAAAGGACTCCTGGGGGCCAACATGACTTTGCTCTTCACCTTTTACTCAAAACTGGCTGGAGCATGTAGGAACTGGCCAGGCATGCCAGGTCTGCTGTCTTGCCCTGGAAAGGACTGTTTGATTTAGCATTTTGTATGTAGGCACTAGCACCGTGGGTGCCAGTGACACTCTACATAGGGGTGTGTTTATGCAGAGCTAGGTCTAATAAGATGCAAGATGCTGTATGAATTGGAATAGCTACCTTGAGGTATTAACAAAGTAGCCTCTTCTGTTTGTATAAAATGTCCAGAGAATAAAAACTTTGATACCTGCACATTTAATAATCCTCATTAAATGCTTTGAAATCTGAAAGTACAGGTAATACTGCATGCCATTGTCCTCTTCTGCTAAAGTGTGTGTTTTGAATATGTTTTGCTGCTATTTGGGTAGGTTTATAGAGAAGAGCAAGAAATTCTGAAATGTGCTGGTAGCAATAGCTAGTGATGGATGTCTGCATTGCTTTCCTTCATGAAAACATGCTTGTCTGCCCCACTGGAAGCAATATGTGCAAGGTTTCCTTTGTTGTGGCCCCCTGGAACATATCACCTGCACAAACACTGTTACTTAAATTTTACTCTGACAAATTAGAAATACCAGTTTCAACCCTGAAGTTTTCAAGATACATTGCAAAGTTTTTTTTTTTTTTTTTTTTTTTTAAACACAAGGCACTGGTGATATCTCTAATAGAATGGGGAGTGGTATTGGCCATCTTGGGGCCCCTAAGAGGGTCATAAGTGAATAGGTACAGCTGCAAATAGGTGATTTACTGTATCAGCCAATAGCAGGAAACAAAGTAGTTGTTCTCAATCTCAAATTCAGTAACCCAACATGATTCTTTGCTAAACACAGGCTTTGTCTTCTGTTTCTCCAACATGTGAACTAGCTGACCATCTCATTCACTAGCACTGGAATAAGTATGACATACTGTGAGTGGAGTGCGTCATAAAAGCTGCTTTTCTTTAAAAGGATTTGTTGTTAAAAAGGTTGTGTGGTGTCTGACCAGAACAAGAAATGCTGCTGCTTAACATGTTTCCTAAAAAGTTGACCTCTCTGAGACAAGTTCTGCACAGGAAATGCCTGCAGAACAGCAGGAGAGAGTTATGACAGAGCTGTTATATCTTACAGTAATCAAAGAGAATAAGGGATTTCCATGTAAAGAAGGCTCCCAAAAGTTGTACTTCAAGCTCTTTGCTTTTGCTTCAGATAGATAACTTGCCTATTGCTGTCCCCGCCACCACTGTGCTGCTGTGTTTGACGCTGGTTAGCCTTCCTAGGATGCTCTAGCCTGTTATGGCAGAGTGCAGGATCATGTGAATTTTAGCAAAACCTTACCAATATCCTGGACAATATTACAGCCTTAGTGTTTTGGGCATCTTTCACTCATCTGAACTGTTCAGACTCCGGCAAGTAAAAATAAATCCAGATAATGATATCAGTTGTGCTATTGAATATAGTTACTTGCCCTACCATAACTGGTTCCTACAGACAAAAGATCACGGCATCCACAGGGAGTTAATACCTCTCCTGCTATGATGGAGTTCTTGGAAGATGGACTCTGGTTTTAGTGAAGAATTGTGAGGGAAGTTGAGATTGCTCTTAGCTATAAGGTATGAGGAGAGCATACACACAAATCGCAGTCCTGATGGGTACTGTTGTACAAAAAGCTCAAACAAGTAAATCAAGACCTTCTTGCTTTCATAGACATGCTTGCTAGAATTGGAATATGAGTGGATAGCATAGTTACCCTAACACTTCTCAAGGAGATACCTGTTTCTTTTTGAAGAGAAGGAGGGTGTTTTGCTGTACTTGACCAGAATCCAGGTCTCTTTTGGTAAGAAATACATACATTTTCCATGCAGTAGAAGCTGGTTCTGTATGTGAATGGCAAAGTAGAAATGATAGCGGCACAGTACTCTTACATGTGGACTCTTCCAGCTAGGACTGAGACTTACTGGCTTTTATGAAGCCCTAATCTGTGGCCAGTTGTGACTTCATGTCTGCTTTGCTAATTGTTGTAATGAGTTTTTCACTTTCTGTCAACTTGAAGTGTTAAGTAAACTTTGTCTGCCAGAAGCTTTGTGTGAAGGCAGGTCAGGTCTGCCTCCAGCGGGACTGGGATATTTAGGCTGTCCATGAGTTTGAAGACATTCTCTGTTAAAAATGTAGCAAAGGTGACTAACCTGGGAGTTGCATGAGGGAGGAACAGCTGAAAGGCATGCTCCTCTTGACAGCCCCTCTGCAGCACAGGGCTCAGTAAGTACACTCCTATTTTCCTCTGCCAGTTTGCAAGAGACTTCTTTGGATTAAAGATCAGAAACATTGCCTTGTCTTATTTTCTCAGCATTGTCTTCATCTTGTCTCCAGAGACTAATGACCCGATCAAGTTAGGAGTCTTCCTTTTCCTTTCTGTTCTCTACTCCTATGTGACCTGGAAGGATACATCCAATTCAAACTATTTGTCTTAAAATAACTACCTGGAATGAAAATGTCCAAGTAACAGTACACTTCAGTTTTTATGTTTTAGCATTGCCATTGTTGGCATAAACTAGATGCTGTTGAACTTGCCAGATCACACTTTGAAGATATTAACAACTAATTCCATGAAAGATAACAAAAAGCCCTGTCTGACTTTCTAGACAAAGCTGGATCACATTGGGTGGTTCATAGATTGTTCCATCAGGTGGTTCTTAGATTGGTACGTACTCATATACATAAGTAAGCTGAGGATATTTTCCATAAGGCCCTGAATATACAGTAAAGCCTTTAAATTACATTTTTGTCCACTTTATCAAGCCTGCATTTCTGAAGATAAAAGATGTTTTCTGCCAGAGCATTCCCTGCCTACCTAGCCTGAAACAGCTCAAGTTCTGAAATGGACCAGTTCCTCAGACCAGAGTGAGGGAAAGGTGTTGTAAAGTCTATCTAAAAATGCTGTATTTAAAAACAAATACCCATGGCTATTTCCGTGGCTTTCAGTATGTAATGTGGAAAATGACAGTGAGTTATGTTCTCGGCTGTCAAACTTGTCGAGCTGCTACAGTCAGTGTAGGGCATTGGTAGGGGTTTAGATGTCTTGTGTGTGTTGCTCAATATTAAAATTCTAGAAATAAAATACTATGATATGCCAAAATTACGAAAAGAGAAAAAAGTAAATGCTTGATGGTACACTCACAGAATCACAGGATGGTTGAGGTTGCAAGGGACCTCTGGAGGTCTTGTCCAGCCTCCCAGCACAAGCAAGGACACCCAGAGCCAGTTGCCCAGGACCATGTCCAGATGGCTTTTGAGTATCTCCAAGGAGGGAGACTCCACAATCTCTCTGGGAAACCTGTGCCAGTGCTCAGTCACCCTCACAGTGAAAAAAGTGTTTTCCTCATGTTCAGAGGGAACCTCCTGTGTTTCAGTGTGTGCTCATTGCCTCTGGGCCTGTCACTGGGCACCACTGGAAAGAATTTGGCTCTGGCTCCGTCTGTCCTCTTTGCACCCTCCCTTCAGGCATTTGTATACATTGGTAAGATCCCTCCTGCCTGCTCTTTCTCTTTTCTAGGGTAAATACCTTCACAAACCATCATTTTGTTCTAGAATTTTGTAACTAATAAACTAGTATCTTTCCAAACTCTTAGAGGCTCACAACCTCATCTGCATGTTAATGCTGGTTCACTCTATGACAAAGGTGTTGAAAAGACTCAGTTAACTGATGCTATTGAACCCATTAGGAACTGTGATCCTTCAGATTTGCCTGCTCTTTGTCTTGCTTGGTTTTATGCCCTTTTCTGAAATATTTTGTGAAACTGGGAGCACTTCGGGAAGTATTTTTTCAAGGAAACAATTTTTTTTCTTCAAGGGGAGAAGAGACATGTTCCTGCCAGATGTGTTCTGCGTATTTGCAGAATAATACTACAGAATGTTTTAAAAATACTAATATTACAGGGTTATATTAGAATTTGGTCTCTATCCAAGGTGTGAATAACTTTATGAATGCTTTCTAATGTTAACCATCTGATCTTTGTTTTTTCTTTTAAAATTGATTAACTTCACATTCTGTTAGAGGTATTTATCTGTGCAGCTCAGATGCATAGATAAAACAGTCCGTTCCCTGCAGTGTCATTTCTTACTAGAAGCAGAACCACTGCAACAGTCTGAACCATTCTGAGGGACAAGACAAACTGAGTTGTCTATATGTAGGAAAACATGAGTATGAATTTCTGTACAAGTCTTTTGTTTGAGTTCATACTAGCAGCTTGCTGGAATTGCACGGGGAATTTAGTCCTGTGGTGGTGGTGCATGGTACAACGAAGGTGTAAACTCCATGTAATAGATGTATTAAAAAAAATTGTCAGTTTACAGGCTCTGATGTATGAAATGGGCGAAGGCCTGGTAAAAACCCAAGAGTTGTCACTTTCTGCCTTCACCTGAAGGCATAGTCAAATATAAGCAGCAGTCCTGATGCATTTCTGATTGGTTTGGTTGAGCCCTAAGTGTGTTGTCTTTTTTTTCTCCCCAGCTGAGTATTGAACAGGCCCAGGCTGTGGCAGAGCAGGTTGAGATGAAAGCTAAGGTGGTACAGTCTGAAGTCAAAGCAGTGACTACTAGACATAAGAAGGCCTTGGAAGAGCGGGAGTGTGAGCTGCTCTGGAAGGTATGCACCTTATATTGGTGGTTTCAACTGCTGACAAGTGTCTTTTTAAACTGAGAAGATGCTTTTTAACTAGTACATGGCCAGATTCCGATATCCTCCTAAGGAACGCTAAATTCAAACACTACAGTTTACTGAAAACTCTTTTTTTTTCTGTAGGTAGCAGGATGCTGGACTCTGGCCCTAGTTGGTTTTGTGCTGAAGGTGTCTCTTAATCTGAGAAACTGGTTGGGTTTTTGTAGGGGCTACTGTATCCTCAGGCAAGCTCAGCCCCACAGGTAGGGTGGGCACTCCCCCTGCTGGCTCAGCAGCTGTGCCTCGCATCTCAGTACTGACCGGAGAGGGGATCAGATCACCTTTAAAACCTTTTTAATATGTACCTTTAAAACCTTTTTAATATGTTGCTGTAGAATTAGGTATGTACTATACAGGTTTTCTTACACGATCCACTTCTCAAACAAAGGAAGGGAGCAAAGCTGTATAGGCCATGTGCTTTTGTAGAAAGACTAGTAGAAATTCCGCAATACTAACTTTCATTGTCCCCACACCTAAAAGCTTACTTTACTCTCAATCAAGGTAGTGTCCCCCTGATTTTTTTTTTGACTAGTAGAAGAAAAGAATTATCTCCAGCAAGAGTATCTGCACAGTCCCAACTCCTGCACTCCAGCCACGATGCACGCGTGGTATTTTGAGAGCAGTAAAGGATGTAACAGCAAAGTCTCTTATTCTGGAAAGGTAACTTAGTGTCATGGCTCTTCTATGCTTGTTTAGCACAGATTAGTTTGGATTGGCCCTTTCGGTCCCACTTGTAGAATTGAACAGAAACCCTCTCTCTGCTCTTGGATTAGGTCTTTTAGATCAGTGAGTCAAACTTGTCCTATGATCACATGATAGCTAGTACTGGTATGGGGAGAAAAAACGTGCCATCAAGATAGGAAAAGTTTAAGATTACATTGCGAATGCTTCTACAGTATGCTTTTGCACCAGATAAAGTGTAGCAGGAAACCATGTGCTGTGTGGCCACTGCCTATGCTAGCAGAACCAGGCAGGATGGCGTGTACATGTGGTTGGTGAGGAACATGCTGCCAAGAAGCAGTGCCATCTTGCTGAAGTACTCCTCCCCTGCCTCTTCTCCATCAACATTGTTTGGAACAGTAATTTTCTGGTTTATTATCTGTTGCCAGCAAAATGACCACGCTGGTAAGAGTTTTTTGTATGGAACTACTCTAGCTACAGTGAGACTAATAATCCACTAAGAGAAGTTTGTTTTTCTGTAGTTCTTTTATAAGTGTCAGTGGCAAGATTATAAATGCACTTTATATAGTTACTGTACTTCTGATGCTGCTTTTTCTGAGGTATTTGGATTGAGGGAGATGAGTTCGCGTTCCACTGTTAGCCTTTACCAAGAAGCTTGGCAGCCTTCTCTTTTGAGGTATTCCTAGTACAGGAGAAGTAAGAGCTGCCCCATAGCTATTTGTATCCCAAGAGGCTGCATAAATGTACTTTACTGGAATGTCTGCACCTAGAGCAAGTTCTCTTCAGGTTATAAAACTTTATTTTAAGAAGGAAACTTGGTGGTGGTAAGTCATTCTAGCAAAAAGAGGTGAATGTATTAATCCCTCATGTGAAATGTGTTAGTGAATAACAATTTTGGGTACCAAAGCTGAGGCCAAGGATTAAGATGAGACCTAAGATTAGTAATCTCCTTTGGAAATCTATTGGAGGAAGCATCTCTGACTTTTTAAAGTCTGGTAAAACCTGCATGCCTTAACTTTAAATGAAATGGTATGTTTGTACATCTGTTAATCTAGTCAGTGTATAACCAAGGAGTCTTCAGACAGTGAGTTGTTCCTCATTAAAATACATTGCTGGTGGTGTTCTGCAGCCAAGTAGGTATTCAGACTTAAGGAACTGTATTTTTACAACAATGAAACAATTGCAATTTTAATTTAGTTTTACAAGGCAGGTGTGTTTGCCAGATGGTTTAAAGTGATTTTTCACAAGTAAAGATAACACACACACACGAAATTATATAAAATAGTTACAAACAAACGACTTTTGCTTGGGCTTCAGTACCCTGAGCAGGGACTGGCAGCAACCTTTTGTGTCATTTGAAGTGACATTACAAAGCGTCCTGTTGCAAAGCACTATCTTGGCATGACTGCCAGTATTTGCAAGAAAATATTAAAATAATTGGACCCTAAAAATCCCTGGAGATAGGTGTCTGGTATTATCCAGTCACGTAAAAACAGTTCTGACAGGCAGGGGAATGACAAGAGCCCATGTGCATTAGCTGATGCTGACTCCTAGCCTCAGCTTTGTGTGTAACAGCCTACCTTCTGAAATCGGTCTTAATTCTGGTTAGAGAAGCCTCAGCCTCTGCTCTTTCTTGAGAGCCTGCAGTAATCTCTGTCCTCCGTGGAGCCTAAAAACCTCAGATGATCTGTCAAGTACCTTGCAACTAGAAAATAGAATAGCATTTGAGGAAGCAAATTATTATTAGTAAGCAAATGGCACTCTGATGCAGCAGGTCTGCAGAGTAAGAATGTATGATTTTGGCTGGAGGATGGGAGAGAGTAATAATCCTGAATTTGGATAAATAATTGCTTTTTCTTGTTTCTGCTTCTCTACATCACAGCTTTGAGGCTTGCTCTGCATTTTTGTGTCAACATGCTGCAACAACTGCACAACTGGTTTTCATGTAGAAGAGTGACATGAGGAAACGTTTCTGTGTTGCAGGTTGTCTTTTCTGATGTAAGTGTGCTTTTCTCTCTCCCCTGTTCCTCCCTTAGGTGGAAAAGATTCGTCAAGTCAAGGCTAAGTCACTCTACTTGCAAGTTGAAAAGTTACGTCAGAACCTAAATAAGCTGGACAACACCATTAGTGCTGTTCAGCAGGTCCTGGAGGAGGGTCGTACCATGGATATTCTTCTGGCTCGGGACCGCATGCTGGCTCAGGTGCAGGAGCTGAAGAATGTGAGAGGCCTTCTCCAGCCTCAGGAAGATGACAGGATCATGTTCACTCCCCCTGACCAGGCATTGTATATGGCCATTAAATCCATGGGCTTTGTCAGCAGTGGGGCTTTTGCTCCTCTGACCAAAGCCACCGGGGAAGGCCTCAAGCGTGCGCTGCAGGGCAAAGTGGCCTCTTTCACAGTGATAGGCTATGACCATGATGGTGAGCCTCGCCTTTCAGGAGGGGACATGATCTCTGCAGTGGTGATGGGCCCAGATGGAAACCTTTTTGGAGCAGACGTCAGCGATCAGCAGAACGGGACCTACCTGGTCAGCTACCGTCCACAGCTAGAGGGAGAGCACCTGGTATCCGTGATGATGTGTAACCAACACATTGAGAACAGCCCCTTCAAAGTTGTGGTGAAATCTGGGCGCAGCTACATAGGCATTGGGCTGCCAGGGCTCTCCTTCGGCAGTGAGGGAGACAGTGACGGCAAACTCTGCCGTCCCTGGGGGGTTAGTGTAGACAAAGAAGGCTACATCATTGTGGCTGACCGCAGTAATAACCGCATCCAGGTGTTCAAACCGTGCGGGACCTTCCATCACAAGTTCGGCACCCTGGGCTCCCGGCCGGGCCAGTTCGATCGCCCCGCCGGCGTGGCCTGCGACATCTCGCGTAGGATCGTTGTGGCTGACAAGGACAATCATCGCATCCAGATCTTCACGTTCGAGGGGCAGTTCATTCTGAAGTTTGGGGAGAAAGGAACAAAGAACGGGCAATTCAATTACCCATGGGATGTGGCCGTCAATGCAGAGGGCAAGATCCTGGTCTCTGACACAAGGAACCATCGCGTTCAGCTGTTTGGGCCCGACGGCGTGTTTCTCAACAAGTATGGCTTCGAAGGGGCACTCTGGAAGCACTTTGATTCCCCCAGAGGTGTGACTTTCAATCACGAGGGCCACTTGGTAGTGACAGACTTCAACAACCATCGCCTTCTGGTCATCCATCCAGATTGCCAGTCAGCACGCTTTCTGGGCTCGGAGGGCACTGGGAACGGCCAGTTCCTGCGCCCACAGGGAGTGGCGGTGGATCAAGAGGGGCGCATCATCGTGGCCGATTCCAGGAACCACCGGGTGCAGATATTCGAGTCAAATGGTAGCTTTTTATGCAAGTTTGGCACTCAGGGAAGCGGCTTTGGTCAGATGGACCGTCCTTCAGGTATAGCCATCACCCCTGATGGCATGATTGTTGTGGTCGACTTCGGAAACAATCGAATTCTCGTCTTCTAATCTGTGTTTGAATTAGGAAGAAACTGTCTCAGGGAAATTCTTCTAAGAGAAAATGAAAAAATACAACGTTAATTCAAACCTACCTCATCTTTAATTTTTTTACAGATGAATGTACTTATCTTTTCTGCAGGGAGTGAGCCTGTAAAGTTAAATTCTATCTACCTCATTGTCCTCCCTTTCTTCCCCGGTTTCTCGCCCCTTCCCCATCCCCACACACTCACAGTTCAGAACATTTTACCTCTCCCCCTGATGGGGTTTCATGCACAAACAAGTGTAGCTGTGCACATTAGGTGGTTTGTGTGGCGAGTTCTGTAGACTAAGCCAAAAAAGGCTCTATGTAACTTTTTAAATGGAGAAGATGGTAGTAGGTGTTTGTAGAGAATTTGTGTTCTTGACCATACTGCAGTTCTGTGGGTGGGGACATGGGAGGGGGGAACTTTTGTTTTTTGAATTGCTGCTGCAGCAGAGAACTTTTTCCTGTTCTCCTTTTTATACCTCAGTGTGTTTGATTTACTGGTGAGCACAGCGTCTTGTTCCCAGATGACTTTGAACGTTTTGTGAAAGTGAGTGGGATTCACTCGCCGGGAAGAGCAAGTTTGCATCTTTTTGGCATTTCTGTGTATTTTTTTCTGAAACACAGTAATCCAACAGCACAAAGTGAAGCTGATGAAAATGCACAAAAATTGTTTAAGTTTAAACCAAATTGTTCATTTTAGTGGCTTAGTGCAGTTGTTGTAAAGTTTAGGTAGAAAGCAAGGCTTCCTTTAATGTATCCTGTCATTGAGTATTTCTTTTTACCCTTTTTACCTGAAAGCTAAATTAGTTTTAAAAAGTTACTGTTTCTTTTATCAATGCACCTCATCTGGATAACAGAAGAGATTACAAGGAGCATTGAAACAGGGAAAATCAAACCCTTTTGATTTACTTTCTTGAGAAATGACTAGCTTTTTTTGCCCCTCCCCATAGAGAGACTTTAAGGGAATAACGATTGATGGATTTGTTAGACCAGAAGTGGTACCTTTTTCCAAAAGTAAGAAATAAGCACAGCTTTGGAGATTCAGGGTGTGTTTTGGAGAAGTCAACAGTTTTTTTGTGTTTAAAGAGGATTGCAATAACTCTATCAGTAACAAAAATATATTTTTTTCATGTTCTGGCTTCCCCAAAGAGCTGGACTGAAAAATTCAGGAAGGTCTACTCTAGTTTTTAGGGTGGGGTGGGCCTGTAGCTCTATGTATCTCTTGCTACAGATCCAAGTGAAAAGTTACCAGTACCAGCATAAGGCAAACTGCATCAAGATGAAACTTTGCTGCTTTTTTCCAGGGCAGTACCAAAGAATTCTGTGTAAAATAAATGTATATGATCCTTAAAAGCTTGGAGTCAGGGGGAAGTTAGCCCTTTCAGGGATAAAAATAAACAGCTTTTCTGAGAAGCAGAAACTCGTTGGGAGAATAGGTGTGGTATCTCTTTAGCAAAATGTGACTTTGAGTTGCTGGAAGTATTTGGTCTTATTCTTCAATTTCTTGCATTCCAGTTTAGCTGTTAATGCAGATATGGTCTCTACAGAGCTGTTTCTTCACCCTCTGCATAGGGCCTTTGGTGGCAAATAGGAATGGTTGAAGTAGGGAACGGAGTGCTTTTCTGCCTCTCTGCAATGGAAAAATTAATGTATCAGTCCTCTTGGGCTTGGAAATGCCATGGTATTTACCCTACTGTTTGCAAGAGAAGATCTCTGAAACATAAACATGGTCGTTATCAGAAAGTCTGAAGAGCCTTAACCATCCTCCAAGGAAAGGGTTCATCTCTCTGCCAGCCACCATGCACAAAAGTGACCTGAGATTGAAAGGCTCTTCACAAGTTTGTGATAAATCACAAGGTGCACTTTCCTTCTTGCTGCTTTTCCCCTCCAAGGTGTGTTAACTTTCTGGGTTTTGTAGACATCCTGATGATGTGTGCAGACAGATAGCTGCCGCTTTCGAGGAGGCTTAAACTGAAGGACCAGAAAGAGACAGACAGATTCATGAGATGGCAACACCTTTTGAAAGAAGGGTGAGAAAAAACACCTAAATTAAATGGGATAAAATAACTGTGCTGCCTTTCAGCCAAAGCCTCAAGGAAGCAAACTCTTCAAAGCAGTGTGTTTCAGTCAGGCTTAATCTTAGGATAGCATGGTTTAAAAATAGTCTTTAAAGGATAATCTTTTATACAGATGTCTGTCATTAAATTTCTGTGGCCACTCAAAATATAGGTATGAGAGAAAGCTAGTTTACCTTCAACTTTTTCAAGTTCTTGTGTACATGCCTCCCTTCATGGGGGTGGCCTACAGTTGTGACAGATGTCCATGTTTGTCTTGTATTATTCAGTCCAAGAATTATTTGCAACTTGGGCTGTGAAAACTAATAGCCTGCAAGATCTAGATACCAAAGAAAACTGGTTTAAAAAGCTTTAATGTTTGGTTTGCAGTGTCCTTGCATTTATCCTATCATGTCTTAATAAAAATGCCAGGTCTCTTACTACCTTGACCAGAGTGGCTGCTGACAGTATTGGAGTATGCTAGAAATGCTCTCGTGCTTTAATGCTTGTTGGGTTCCCCCATTCTCTGGGACTAGAAGGGAGTTGTTTTTCAGGCATTAAAAAAAAGTTAAGCATGCATTCAGGATTGTGTTGAACTGCAGAAACCTTTTTGCCCCTCTCCAGCCTGCACCGCATAGAAGGTGACAGACACTGAAGTTGCCCTTTGCTATTTTGTGTGGAGCCATTGCACAAACCCCCAGTTCAGCTCTGTCAGAGGGAGGAATGACTTTAACTCTTTCTAAGTTGCTGTCTATTTAATTCAGTGGGATTTGCTTACAAACCAAACCTCAAGTGTTTGACCTCATGTGTTGGGGAGCTTTTTTCGTTTTAAAAACACTACTATTTAGCTACCCAAAATAATTCCTTATCTTTGTCATAGTGCTAAGCACACTTGGTCTCATTGAGAAGTCGTAGTGTAGCTTATAAAATGGAGTGGTTTATATGCAATGAAAGTAAGTAGTGGTAATATACAATGCCAACGTCAGATACCCCATAGGGGCTTTTAAAAAATTAATACTTAAATGAGATTCAAACCTTGCTCTGTTTTCTCCATGCATATTCTCAGGCTATGTGTGTTCTCAGGTTAGTGCCCCAGTATCATAATATACATAGTGCAGAGAGAAAAAGCAAGGCTTTGAAGTTGGATTGCAAACTGAACAAGCATTCAGAGTAATCTTCTGAACTAGTGGAAATGGCCTGGAGAAGGGTGATGTGAGCTTGTGCCTCTTTCTCTTAGCTCTGACATTGGGGAACAACAAATATGGGTGACAGACCTGTCTACTAGAACTCCCAAAGGAATTTCACTGTCAGGTTAAACAAGTGGCTCTCGGTAAACTTTTTGCTTGACAAAATGTTATCAGCAGTCAGTATGGCTGTTTTGTCTTCAGCCTGTGAAGCAATCTTGTCCTTTCTCAGAACTATTTAAGCAGGAACTTCAGTAGCAAACTGAAGCAGACTCAGTACTTGATAATGCAGGTCCTCCAGATAATTCACTCCTTTTTATTTAGTACCTTTTGAATATAATTTATTTAAGGAAGCCCATAAACCTTAAACTTGTAAAGAAAGCAAGGGAAGGATGGCAACACCTGAAAACTAATGCATATTGGGGCCAGATGTAAGCAAGTTTGGGAGAAAGAAGAACAAGGCACTTGGATGTGGCGTTGCCTTGGAATTGCAGTAAAATGGGCCCAGTTTGTTATGTTGCAGTTAAACCAAAATTAATTTCTGAAGAGAGCAGATTTATAGGCTTATCTTGCCATAACTTTGATAATAAGATTTCTTTGTTCAGTTCTGGTTTAAAAAAAAAAGTGCCAAAGTGTTTTGTTGGGGTTTTTTTGTTCGTTTGTTTTTTGCAGTTTTGGGGTTTTTTGGTTTTTTTTTAAAGGAGTGTAAGCCAAACGGTGCCAAAAGGTAATAGGGTATTTAAAGGTAGAGATATTTAGACAAACAGTTTGGAGCTGTATAAAAAATGAACACTGGTACTTGCGTTAGGCAAATGTTGTACCTTTGGTCTTTGAGTCCTTGGGAGTTTGAAACCCAGTTTGCTGTGGTACAAAATGCACAACTAGAGATGCCACTATCTTTTTCTTGAAGTTCTACCTCACTTTGCAGAAGTAAATCATCTACCTCAATTTAGCATCAGACATGTTTGAGAAATATTTGAGAATCTGCCTGGGGGAAGGATTCATCCTGCCTGTTGGACAAGCATTTTAATTGAAACAGAGATACTAAGTGTGTACAATGTGGTGACTTCTTGCTTTTGTTTGCTTTTGGTTTTTTGCTGTCTGCCCATGGAAATATTAAGCTGCCCTTGCTAGAGGATCTGTAAATAAAACCAAATGTTCAGGCAAACTGGACTGAGATACCTGAAATGCTTTTGAGTTTGTTCTGTTTTCACTACGAAGTATGGAAATGTAAACTTTTTTCAGTATTATGACACTACTAGCTGACATGACATACTTCATGTTCATTTGCAGTGTTCTTATGTCCGTAAGACCCTTAGGTCTTCTCTCTACAAGAGAAAAACTTTTATGCATGCCTACAAATATGTCCTGTTGGAAAGACTAATGTTACGATTGCTGTAAACACAACGTTATACCAAATGCTTGAAGGGAATAAGATCCTGATTTTTTTTGACTTGGTGATTGTATTAGTAGCTTTCTTGACTCAATGGGATTTTTTCCACCATGACAAAGCAACCAAGTTCCTATTCCTGGAGGGCAGTTTCGGTTCAGACATTCTTGGGAGAGGCAGTTTAAAATCAGTATGTTGGGGTTTTATGCAACTTTAATAGTGACATGCAACATGCCCCTTCTTTTACCTGTGGAGTAAAGTTGCAGAAGCACATTTTCAGATTACTATATTGAAAAATTCTTTTTTTGTCCCCTGCTCATATTAGGGGGTGACAGAAGTGGGTACAGGAGACCCCTAATAATGACAGGCTGTGTTGGGTTTGGTAAATGTTATGGTGGAAAATGTACAT